AGACATTTTATTTACTATCCAAAACAAGCATTAGACTTATACTCAGAGTTTTACATCGCTGCTGTCAGAACAAAACCTCTTATCTCCATTTTTGTTGTAAATTGTCTGATGAATGGGCCAAAAAAAACAGCCCCAAAATTACTTGGAAAAAAGTCTGGTTTCATTGACTTACATTAAAAGCAAAGCATGCTTTTTCCTTTTCTTGTTAAGTTACCATTTTGGAGATACGAGCTTTTGTTCCGACAGCAGGGATATATAATTTAATAAATGTAAAATAGTTGAAAATCTGAAGGTGCTCTTTTACTGTACAGCACCCTCTGTGTACCTCTGCACCATGAATAACTTTAAAGAAACCTTTTTTTTGGATGAAAATCATCTAAAAACAGTCATGAAACAGTGTCTCAGACATCAGGCAGTGAATTCATAACCATTTCATGTAATAAGTCTGTATGAAGGAGCTTTTAGAGGCATTAAGCTCTTCAGATGTCTGTCACCACCACAGTGAACAATCTGACCCAGTAATTTTCTCTAGAAGTGAGCATTGCACACCAAACCTGAATGACTCTGAACGACTGTTTACCTCTCAACAACTTGATGTTGCGGAAGTCTTTGAAAGAAATGGCTGAATTCCTTTTTAAATTCTTTCTGCATTCTTGGATTTGTACTTTACGTTTTAGTGTGATGCCCTTAGCGATGTCTGCATTTTTGGCATCTTTAGGTAACATTTACTCAAACAGCTGGCAGGTCACTCATCCTCTGAGCAGCATGTAGATCAGAAAGTCTAGACCTTTGCTATTTCCAGTTGTTAAGACGGTGCTGTGTGTCAGTATCGCTTGAACTGGGACCAAAATTCCAGCAGAAAAACAGACACCAGCTTCCCTTTATATTGAGAGCTCTGGCCAAGACTTCAGTGCTGAAAGGACTGTCTGAACATGTGTTTAGTGTAGGAGTGAAGGAGGGCAGCAGATTTGCTAAAAGGGGAGCTAATCACCCGAGTCTACCAACACTTTGTGCTGGTAGGGACAAAGGCTACGTTTACGCAGCAGGTAAAAGTGGCCCAAATCCGATCTTTTTCCTCAGATGTGTGTCTGTGTGTCAGTGTGAACAGCAAAAAATGCATTGAATCTGACATTTTCGATTCCGATTCGATACGCTTTCATATGTGGTACTGAAATCCAATACATGTCCGATCTGCGGCAATGCGACTCAGTCTGAACAGCCAGATCAGAATTCATGAGACTTTTACGTCAGTCCAACTCGACATTCGTCATGATTTCGCGCTGTTGAGACTGATAAACATTTAGTCTGATGTTTCTGTACTAAATTAGAAGAAACTCATCAAACCCCGTGTTCAAACGGAACGGCCGATCGCGGCCGAAGGAGACCGCGGCTGCAGCGTCGGAGAACAGTTTAAAGAATCCGAGGACACGACCCAAAGAAGTGGCCGAATAACGAGCCCTTTTTCAGCGAACTCGAACACGCTGTGTGTGATGAGTCCAGCTGTCAACCACTGGAACTTTATACTCGCTCCTGTGATGCTGGCGAAGACGAAACTGAAAGCTGCAGGAGCGACAGGCGTTCGCTGGCCATCATGACTGTTTACCTCTGGACGAGCCGCCTCGTGAAGCACTGTCCTTTGCGCATGCGGGTCGGTTTAGGAGCTGATCTGTTCAGACTGATGTCGCATACAGATCACATTTAAAAGATAATGTGAACAGCCAAACAAAAGAATCGGATTTGGTGAGAAAATCAGATTTGGGCCACTTTTACCTGCTGTGTAAACGTAGCCAAAGAGACTTTAGCAGACATTAACGTCGGGCATATTGTAGTACTGGAGTCTGGTCTCAGTTTTGTTTTGGCCTTATAATCATTTAGACTCGGTTTCGTCTCAGCTTGACTCGGTCTGGACAGCATTCGGTCTCGTTCTCATCTCAGTCTCGCCGTCGCTAGGACTCCGTCTTGTCTTGGTCTGAACATCATGTTTGCGTTTCTGAATATTTGTGGTTCTGTTTGTGGTTCTGAATACTCTATTTCAGTTTAAGCCATTTGCTCAGTAGCTCCTTTTATTCGAGTGCAGCTTGATTTAATTGCAGTGGCCCTGCTGTCAGCCTGAAAGCTTTAATTGCAGTCTTTTGAGATTAAATAATTAGATACGATTAACGCTTCTGCTCTTGAAGAGAACACTTCTCAATTCAAATGAAAGCATTTTCAGGTTAGGTGTAGTCAAGTAGCCAGTCACTCATAAATGAATTTATGTGGACGTGATCTCCTACTTTACGGAAAGAGGGTAACACGGCTAGACCTTCTAAATTTAGAGCTGGTTCAGTCGTTTTGTTGGATTGTGAGTTTTGGCATTGTGCTGTTTATAATGGGCATACTTGGCAAAAAAATTGAACTGTCATAGTTTATTCTTACTCAGATGTGAAAAATGGGATTAAGAGCTGATTGTTGCTTGTTTAAGTGGGGAAAAGTACCTTAAATTGAGTTCATGTAGGGCTCTTGTGTCAAACACAAGGCCTGCGGGCCGGATCAGGTCTGTAGCACAATCCTATTCGGCCCTTGAAATTATTTTGATTTTCTATTAATATTAGCCCGTTTCACAATAAGCTGCACTACAATCCTCAGCATGCAATGCAGCATGATTTGTGCTGTCATATCACCAAACACACTAACTGCATTTCTGCACAGCTCAACCAACATAATGACTATCAACACTAGAAACATTATGAACACTATAAACACTCAGCAGCTCAGAAACGGGTCCCAAGTAGTAATGAACCTGCAGCAGAAGGAATGTCAGGTGTCTAGATCAAGGACCCAGGTAGGTTTAAAAGATTTACATCCTGAGGACATTTAAAGAGGCTTAAGTAATCTGTATCTAATGTAGCTTAAATACAGGGTCATTCAAAAAGATCCGATTTCAAAGCGCCATATTTTTACAACCGTGAGGCGCAGAGGAACCAATCACAATCCAATTGTAAGAGGGGGTCAGAGTTTCTGACTGTCAGTGGAAGATGGCTCCCTTCAGTCTGAGAGGAGATGAGACCCCTGAGCAGAAAGCGTTCTGCGTTCTCCACTTCAATAAGAGTGAATCAGTCATAACTGTGCAGTGTGATTTTCGTGGGCAGTGAAGCTCCAACAGCTCAGAGCGTTCGGCGTTGGTTCCACAACACTGGATGATCTCCGAAACCGCACTGAAAGAGCCGTGAGTGCAGCGACACCCGACATGCTCAATCCAGTATGGGATGAGTTTGACTGTGGCGTTGAAGTTGTCTGTACAGCTGGAGGAGGTTCAGACTGAGACCTTGTACAATTACATAATAAACTTTATGCTCATTAAACCATTTACAGTTTACTGCACTGATCTGTAACGATTTACAAGAGAAATAAATCATTTTGAAATCAGATGAATCTTTTTGAATCATCCTGTATATCAAGAATTGTAATATTCGAGGGTTTATTGAGATTTTTTTAATATGGCACTTTTAGTGGTTGAGTACATTCACGACTGCCAATGTTGGAAATATTCACTACAAAAAAGGAGCAAATGAGGAATTTAAGGTGTTTCAGTCTTTTGAATGCTTTTCTGTGTGGCCGTTGTGAGATTAGTCTCAGACTGATATCGGTAGGTGTGCTGTTGTAAAGACACTGTGTGTCTTAACAGTGTGATTTACAGGGTTAAGTGCCGTTAGCGGCTTTTCGATCCGCTCACAGCAGTTTCAGAGAGGCTCTCTTGCTCAGGAGTTGGAGTGCAGAGGTGGCAGAGCTTCTGCCGTCTGTATTGGGAAAGTACCTGAGCGTGTGACTAATGGAACGAAACGAAGATTAAAGTGCAAATTAAGTGCAAATGTCAAAGTACCCCAACCTCTTTCAGCGTACCCTAAAGCCACCCCCTCACCAACTGAGAGAAGAAACATTTTTGTACTATTTATGGACCAGCTGTTCTTCCGAAATAGTTCACACTATGGGCCCACGGGGGTGGATGGGTAGGTGGATGGGTCAGTAGGTAAAAAAATAAATAATTTTTAAAAAAATATGAAGTTTAATGTTATAATCTGTACTAAACCGAAGGTTTTAATAGAGATAGTAATGAGCTAAATATATACAAAATCATCATTTGCAGGGAACTTTCTGTTGGGAGGTCTGAATTTACACACGTGACAATAATACTTAAAATTCCTTAGTTTTTCCACGTTGTGTAAAGATCTTTTTAATTTCTTTTAAAATTAAATTGAAAGATTAAGATTTATCATGAGTTTCAAAAAAAAACTTTTTTCAAAATATGCTGTCTCATGTTTTCATGTCACTACCGAAACAGAGTTTGTGTCTGTGGGCGTAGCCATGTTTTAGCCACGCCCCTGCATGTTAGATCCCATTGTTTTGAAGCAAATGTGTCTCAAAGTCTGACAATCAGTGTGTAACATTAAGAATTGTGACTATGAAACACATTTTCTATAATTAAGTAGCTTTTATAAGTCATGAACTGGCTGTGTTTTTGATTTCTGCTCAAAATGAGCTAAAATTGTCACGACCGAAATGAATATTTGGTAGCGTTATAATTGTACATTCCCTTTTATCGCTACCAAAACAATCATTTATTTTAATAAAATTAACGTAATTAATGTATAGGGTCACTCAAAAAAAGTCTGAAATGCGTTTTCAGCTCTGACTTTGAAACAGTTTGATAGAATGATCCTTATAACTCAATACAACTTTGTTTTCTTTTACAGTTCGTGTTTCTGAAGTATTTTAATAACAAAATTGTGTAACTTTATCAAAATATATTGTGCTTAGGCAAAACATTTGGGCTCCTGTGGTTTAGAATCTGCACTTTTAACACAGTTTCTCCACTCGAATCAGTTACAACTGAGGAATGATTAAACCAAATATAAGAAATCATTTCAAGTCATATACAGCATGGGGGACATTAACGTGTGCAACTCTCTCTCTCTCTCTCTCTCTCTCTCTCTCTCTCTCTCTCTCTCTCTCTCTCTCTGTAGGAGTGGTGGAGGGCGATCTGGCTGCAGTAGAGGCCTATAAGTCCTCAGGTGGAGACATCGCTCGGCAGCTGACGGCTGATGAGGTTCGTTTGCTGAATCGACCGTCTGCCTTTGACGAAGGTTTCACGCTCGTCCACCTCGCCATCCGCTTCCAGAGGCAGGACATGCTCGCCATCCTGCTGACCGAGGTACACCCCCGAGTGTTTATCCTGCTTCACGCACCCAGAATTGTATCATAAGCATTCCCAGAGTTCCCAACCTAAAAGACATAAAAATGAAGCCACAACTATTGAATATTTGTATCTTTAAATATTCTGTTGAATGATATCTTTAATATAGAAATATTCTGTAAGGATAAGGAAAGCACACGATGTGTGTTTCACTTCAGTGATTAAAAGAGAGGGATTTTTAAGTTTTATTTGTCATTATTATTTGGTTTAGTGAGTAAAACGTCAAACACTACAACGTAATCAATGGAAAAACATCACTGGTAGACAGTTATTGTCATAGCAACTATGCATAAAATGCTGTTGTTAGGGATTTTGCCCAGTCAGGAATTCAACAGGGTGACGTTATCACCTCAAATTAGACCTCCAATTCGGACGGTTGGGAACAAGCTCTGGACAGCTGGATCCCTGACTAATGCTGAGAGATCAATGGGAGCTCAAAGGCGGAGCTGAGAGTGTGGAGGTGATGTCACACTCGTCTGCACTCTCCAATGAACAGCACGCCTGGTGTTAGACTATGAATGGAACATAAGTGAGCATCACTGAAAAATACCCCATAAAAACTCCAGTTAGTTATCTTGTTTTGCGCGTGCAGAGAACATATCACATGCGAATAGAACAAATGCCGCTATATTGGATCGCTTTCTTTTGCGATTTTATCGGTTCACTGGCGCCAAATATCAGTTTATTTATTGAAACGTACATGCACTGTAAACACTCAAAACGGACTCCCCCTCCAATTTGATTTACCCCATTCACTACTTCATGACTCCAATGGTGGCGCTAAGACGCTAATCAAATGAATAGGGTAAACCTGCGGTGAAGAAAAAGGAACTCGCAGGGAAGAAATGGTGGAAAATGAGGCGAAACAATTTAGAGACACATCGTGCTTGAAGTCTGGGGCCACTTCAGCTTTTACAGGATTGAAGGGACATGAAACGGACAAAGACTTCGCCATTTGCAAGAACCGAAAAAAATCTTGTTTCTGTACGTTTACACAGAAAAAGATCTTAGTGAGGCACAGCTGTGTTCTGTCTTCAGACATGTTAACCCCAGAGCTGTTCTGCTCTCTGGCAGTTTATGGCTATTTTATATTGGAGTGATGACACACACAGTCAGTGTTTGTGTGTAACAGAGGCATGATTGGTTGTCAAATTCTGTGAAACTGACACTAATAAATACATATTTATCATTTATCAATCCCGTTTCTTCTTTTCACTCCTACCCCTTGTTTTCGAGTGTCACCCTAACCCTTTGGAACTGAGTTACAGGGTAGTGGTTGAGATCTTCCCTCTGAAATGGGACCCTCAAATAAAAAGAGCATCACTTCATTAACAGCTACCAGCGCTGCTCTGTAGGCGACCCTGCCAGTCTGCAGTGACAGCAGAGGAGGGTAAAGTTCAGCTCCTCACTGCTGGGCTTTAGTTACACTTAGGGAATCATATGACTTCAAAGAGGGGGCAATTATTTATTATCACCCACCCCTAATTCTTCAGTGATATGAAGCTGAAGTCAGATATTCACCAGCTTTTTGTTTGAATTTTCCCGTTCCACCTTAAATGGTGCTGCAGTTACATTATGGCGCTTCAGGCGTCAGACCTGCTGGACTATTGTACAGGTATATAGGTACTGAGACATTAGCATACTATTAGCGATTTTTATGCCTGTTATGAAGAAAAGGACCATAATACACCGAAACGACATTAAACTAAGATAAAATGACGGTTATTGTAATTTTTAAACTGAGAAAATTCTCACATTTGTGTGTTTCTTTGGTCTCTTGTTCTCCATCTTGCCGGTTTTTCTTTTTTCTCATAACTCTCTGTTTGGAGTCTCTGAAAAACCTCTGTTTGGAGGGTCATGTAGCCCCAACACTGGGACACCCTACACCCAGCCACAAAACAGAGGGCTGGGGGCTGAGTGGTGGGGGCGAGGGGCGAAATGGGACTGGGCCATAATTCCTGCTATTTGCCTGTTGAGGAGTATTTTATTTTGTTCAGTTACACAGATATCGTGACGTATCGTAGAGGATTGTCTTGCAATATATTGAGTATCACAAAATCGCAGTATCATGATATCATCATGGGCAACATATCGTGAGATGCCCTGTGATTCTCACCCCTACTAACTAGCTCACAAGATATCGACTGCTTTTATCAAAATATGAAATTTGTTCCTGTGTTTACGTGTATTCAGATTTAATCTAATAATGTGATGTTTTTCAAGCAAAAAACACAAGTATTGCTAAGATAAATGGTTTTAAACTAGACTTTTGCGCAGTACTGTGTGTCTGTGATGCTATCTGAGAGCTGTGTTTGTGTTCTGTCTGAGGCGTAAGAGCATTTGGAGTGGCTGCTGTACCGTCAATGAAGGATTTACATGAGTGGATTACTGGAGCGCTGAGCTCTGATTGGTCGAGATTTGACCCTCACTAGCTATGAGCTAATATGTGCGAGTGACAGGATGCACACTGATTAGAACACACACACACACACACACACACACACACACACAAACACAGAGCAGGAAAGAGCAGATTACAGTGTCACAGAAAGACATGACATTACTGACTCTCTGCTGCATTACATAAAAGAGTCCTTCACTCAGACGGGCTTATATCGCTAATAATCAACAAAAGAATGGTGGAGACCAGATAATGTTATATATTAACTGGTCATTCCTTAGTGTTGGTCACACTATGATGTTGTGATAACATTGTGATGTGTACTGTGATATTGACGGCCCATGACTTTATTAGTTTTGGTGAAAATTTAGATTTAGTATCAGTTATTTTTATCTCTTTGTTGTGATGCACGCAAACCTTTCAGGTTTTAAAAAAGGGGATAAGTCAGAACTCTGACTTGTAATTGGATGCAAATTATACAACAGTCAGTTCCGGCCACGCGAGCTGATTGGTTGAGAAGCTTTCTAACTGTGCTGTTATTTCACCATAACATCACGGGTTTCTCACAAACACTGTATCACTCCGCTGAGACGCCGTTGCTAAGCAACTACTTTGACAGCTGTAGGAGACGCTCAAGCCCTTTGAACATTTTTACTTCTTACTTTGCCACAAACAGAAAACGGACACTTTTAAGATCACATTGGACCGACAGCCGATTTGGTCAGACTCTGAAGATGAGACGACACTAAATTCCCAAACTGTCATCACCACTGAGCAGCTTTTCAGTCGGCAGCTGTGACAGAAGAACAGCTGAACAACCTGGAATCAGCCAGAAATGAACCCAACACCATTCGCCAAACTAAATGGGCTGTAAGATGCTTTACAGACTGGCTGGAACAAAACAACATTAATACTGATCTGGCAAAAACTGACAAAACTGAGCTGAACTTGATATTGTGGCAGTTTTATGGCTGAGTCTGATTTGGTTAGACTCTGAAGATCAGACTACACGTTTGGCGAATGGTGTTGGGTTAATTTCTGGCTGATTCCAGGTTGTTTAGCTGTTCTTCTGTCACAGCTGCCGACTGAAAAGCTGCTCAGTGGTGATGACAGTTTGGGAATTTAGTGTAAGGAGCTGGAGAACGAACTGCCAGCTGTGCGGCGAGTGGGCGGAGCTCGTTACTCTGACGTAGCAACAAGCTGCTCGTTAAGGAACTATAATTTGGTGAAGGAACTGCGAACATTAAAACATATTAAACGCCGCGTTCACGGCCCAGTTTATTAATTTATTACTTTATTTATTTAACTGTCGTATTAAGCAGTAGAACACTCGAGGAGTGTGTTATCGCCAATTATTTTGTGATAACACACTCCCTCTCGGGTTCTGTTGCATTAATTTTAGGCAACCCTGGATAAATTACATATTTTGTTGATTGAAAGTGAAAAGAAGTAACACAACCTATTGTGTTATTTAAAAAAATGACATTTTTCTGAAAGTATTAACAAAGATACTTTATATTTGATTATAAATATGGTAAAATAAAATAGTAACTGTGACTTGTGCAAATGTTTGGACACCCTACTAAGTCAGTACTTAGTGACACCCCCCTCCCCCCCCCCTTTGGTGCATGTCACAGCTTGCAAACGCATTTTGTAGCCATTTAATAGTCTTTCTGTTCTTGTTTTAGGAGTTTTCACCCACTCCTCCTTGCAGAACGCTTCTAGTTTTGTGATGTTCTTGGGCCGTCTTGCACACACAGCATGTTTATGAGCTTTTCAGTTTACGATTTTCAGTGATGTTCAGGTCAAGAAAATGTGAGGGACAGTCCAAAAGCTTCAGCCTGCATTTCTTAAAGGAGTTTGTGGTGGATTTTTTGATAGTTGTCCAGTTGTAGACACCACTTTTTTTAGCTTCAATTTCTTGACTGATTGTGTTGCATTTTCTTCCGAAATTTCCTGATATTTAGTGCAGTTTATTTTTTCCATCTATCCTTGTGATGTTTCCTGTGCCACTGGAACCCCACACAACCCCAAAGCGTAACAAATCCACTCCCATGCGTGACAGTTGGCAAGGTGTTCCGTTCATCAAATGCTGCTTCTTTTTTCTCCAAGCATGCCTTTAGTGACTGTGGCCAGAGACTTAGATTTTTTCTTCATTTGTCCAGAGAACTTGTTTCCAGAGTTCTTCTGAATGTTGTTTTGCATACTTTAGACATCGCCTTTTCTGGTGACTCTTCCATGCAGATCATATTTGTGCTAGCAGTGCTACATAGTACAGCGGTGCACCGCCACTCTGTGTCAGCTAAAACTTCCTGCACCTCCTTTGCTGTCATGTGGGGGTTTTGCTTTGCCTTTCTGACCAGCATACAACCAGATCTCGCCCTGACTTTAATCAGACATTGATTAATTCCATGCTCTGGAATTTTAATCATCTGACAGTTACTAATGACGATTCTTGACGTGCGTAACCAGTCTTAGCAAATCAGTTATGGCCTAATGAGTTACGTTTTGAGACTTTACAACTGGAAAGGTGTCCAAACTTCAGCAGATGCCACAATTACTAATATTTTATATTGTTTTTAATCTATCAAATATAAAGTAATTGTAACATTTGCAGTAAAACGTTATTGTATTAGAATGGTTTCTGCAAAAGTTGTTTACTTCTTACTTCAAAAATCCACAAAATATTTTTAAACAGGGTGCCCAAACTTTTGCATACAATTGTAGGTCAGAACTCCTCCAGAGGGCAGTGTAGAGCATCTTACATTTTGATCAGAGTTTCTTATCTGTTTAGTTCAAAGAGATGCAAAGAAAGACTACTGCAGCCATCTAAAGGCTGCAGCCCATCGGGTGAGAGGACTCACTCTGCGCCGTGGACAGTTCACAAACTTGCTGTTTTTCAATATAAAAGATATGAGATGAAATTTAGTGCGACTAGAGTAACATCAGTAGCCAAGGTAACAGGCTGTTTATGTTAAAGACTTTAGATTGACTGCTTTTCTCAGAGTAAATTTGAATTTATGTCATATACTATAGATTTGTGGTCCCTTTTTAATATAATACAGTAATAGGAAGATTAGCAGCTTGTAGCCTTAAGAGTCCTATTTGGAGCTTTTTTGATGAGGTATTTGACCGAAGTGCCCGTTCCTAGTTTAAAGTACCATACAGTTTTAGCAAATAGCCGTTTTATGTTGACAAACCCTTCGCTACAACTTTTTCTTTCTTAATCAAAAGTAAAATTCGTTGTTGAAAGTTTCCAAGAAGCCAAGGGGTCTCCAAAGTTTTGATGCGTGTGTTGTAGGTTTGTGGGGAAAACTGTGTGCTCTGGCCCTCAGACACATTGTCCATAAAGATATTTGCAGTGTGATGTTTGTGCTGTGATGCTTTTGGAAAATTCGGTGCTAATCTTTTTATCCCCAAACCATTCGGCGTCCTGCTGTAAGAATCACAGTGAGCTGTATGTGACCTCTGTTTGACCTTATTGTTTCCTCTTGGACTCCAGGTGTCTCAGCAGGCGGTGAAGTGTATCCCGGCGATGGTGTGTCCCGAGCTGACGGAACAGATTCGCAGAGAAATCGCCTCCTCGCTGCACCAGCGCAAAGGAGATTTCGCCTGTTACTTCCTCACGGATTTAGTCACCTTCACTCTACCAGCAGGTACACTCGTTTAACGAGTTACGGCGATGAGCCTATAAATATGAATCAGAGTCTTAGAACACATTGAAAATCAGGGATTTTTCCACTTAAACTTGGAAAATTTCAGATTTTTGAAAACAGGTTCTGTTTAAGCCGTGTTCGGACGCTCTCAGGGGTATTTGATCTACTCTTCAAAGGCTTTTTGGATTGTGCATGCAGGACATATCAAATGATAAAAAAATAACATTTCAAAGATTTTTTTTTACTTTTTATTCAAATTGTCATGCTGATAATAGAATTTACAATCGAAATCTTTCAAGTAGATTATAAAGAGATGCAAAATAGAAGCATGGTGTCAGATTTAAAATAAAGATTAGAGATGGCCCAAAAATTCATGACAGGTTGATGATGACACTCACAGGTGCTGCTGTGTTTACTGTCCTTTTTTTTTCCCCCAATATGTTAAACAGAACAGGTTGCCAGCGGTTCAGAACTTCAAACCTTTTTCCGCAACTGTGATTCCTTTAACCTTTTTAACTCTGTGGAACCACCGGTGGTTCCAAAACGCACTTCATGTTCTTCACTTCATAACTTTCATATTTCATAAACTTCATTCAAAAGGTGGGCGTCATATGAGAGCTGTAACTGTCTTCTTTCCAGTCCAATAGATGGCTGATGTAGTTTTAAAACTTTATAACAAAAGAATCTGAACTCAAAGTCGACTCATTTTTCCACAAATCTGGGCTATAAACTATAAACAGATGGCGTCTCTTCAGTGATCTGCTCTGTAAAAATTACTTTAATAAAAAATACAAAGAGTGTTGAAGATTTTTGGCTTTCAGCAGTGAATTGTAAGCATACAGCATTATGTTTATGATCATAAAAAACATTTTCTGTTAATTTGAGGGGGACTTTTACCATACATTTATTAAAAAACATTTATTTCATGCAGTTACTGAATAATTTGCCTTGCGATTTGGGCATGTAAATTCAGATGACGGAGAAAGAACTTGTGAGTGAAACTTGTGTGTGGGAAAACAAGTAGTGTTTCTGGTTGCCGTAGCAACCTTGCAGCTTCAAACGCAGCTGTTTTCACACTGTTCTGTGTGGTTCCGCTGCTGGTGCAGTAGCTGCTTCGTCGTACAAGTTTTCATAGGAACTACAGACGATGTTCTATTCTGACTTTTTGTCGCTCATGCAGGACCATGAAAGCCTACAGCGCTGTGACGTCTGTCCACCACTGTTGTTTGTTTATTTTTTTGTGTGTGTCGAGCGACGCTTGTTGCCTATAAATTGGCCTTAATGCTTTAGTGCATTTGGAGGCTCGTTAGAAGAGGAGGGAGAAGAGGTCACGGCAGCACAAACCAGTGAGACAGTTATCTGGTATGGAAAGTCAGTAAGGACACGAGTTTGAGGAATACACTCAGAACGAGTGGAGAGAGTCGCAGAAATAAACATGCAGTTCGTTTAGTTTTCTTAACATCAGATGCGTTTTGTTTTTTTCATGGTTCAAAATACAGTCCTGACTCAAAATTGAGAATTAGGAAATTCATTTGATAATCAAAACCTTTTAAAAAAAATAATGGAAACTATGTTGTGATAATTCACACACGTATGTGAGTGAGCAGTAAATACTGTATATTGCTATGAACTGTGTGTCATTCTGGGAGTGTCTGTCCTTGAAATTAAAAAGCTTTATTCATGAAAATGGTATTCATGGCATCTCCCACAGTGGACATTTGGATAAACCAGCTTTAATTGGTAGAATGTTTATTAATAGCAGCGAAGATGTTTGTGTTGGCGTGACCCCTGACAGGCGTGTTCCAGTACTGACTTTAGACAACACATACCAGAGTATCAGTTTACCAGCGGCAGCGCAGTATTGTATTACCCTGCACCTATAGATATATACAGCACTGTCTGTGCGTGAGAGGAGGTTTCTAAGCAGGCCGACCTCGGATCAACACTAGGCTCTGCAGTGCGATCACTACTGAGACACTGAACACCCACCGGTGTGTGTGCAGTCACATGCAAAGTGTGACTGGTCAAATGACATGTTTTTGTTGATCTTTGAAGTGAAAATAGGTTAACAAACTTATTAAAGTTAAGATAGCAAACTTAAATATGCCATTTTTCTGTAAGTTTTAGTGCACAATTTATATTTATTTGCTGGTTTTCTAACATATTGGAAAGAAAAAAAAATATATAAAATGTGCCATAACTTGCACAGTAGCAGTGAATTACTATGTTTCTTCCACATTGGTTGGACGCTGTAGCTCAGGGTTTCTCAACCACTAGGCTGCGGACCGCAAGTGGGCCACAAAGCACCCATTGGTGTTCCTCAGGCCAATACTGAGGGGCAGCAGTGGTCCATAGTGGACCTTGGATGACACCTTGTCATAAAAATCAGTGGAAAAAATAACTGAATTAACAAATTAATAATCCTGTTTTCAAAGGTGAAGCCCTGCAAAAAGGGAGCACCCAAAGCAGCTTCATCAGTTTTTTGATCCTTGCCTTCAGAAAACATACTGACCCTGACATTCCACTTTAGATAGATAGATAGATAGATAGATAGATACTTTATTGATCCTGAAGGAATTTAGCAGCCAGTGTCAGTCACACAACACAGGACAGTTATAATAATAATAAGGATGGTACAATATAAAAAAACCATCTACAGGCATATATACAAACTCCAGCAGCACTGCTGTGTCTGATCCACTCAGACCAGCGCAACACACACTAACACACCACCACCACGTCAGTGTAACTGCAGTGCTGAGAATGACCCACCACCCAAATAGTACCTGCTCTGTGAGGGTCCATGGGGGTCCTGACCACTGAAGAACAGGGTAAAAGGGGGCTAACAAAGTATCAGAGAAACAGATGGACTACAGTCTGTAACTGTAGAACTACAAAGTGCACCTATATAGTAAGTGGAGCTGATAAAATGGACAATGAGCGTAGAAACAAGGAGGTGGTCAGAATGTTATGCCTGGTCAGTGTATATTTTATGTTTATGGAAATGCGTCATATGTTGCAGGGTTTGTCACTGAACATAACTGTGTTGAGAATTTCCTAAAAATGATATTTTTAAAGCCTGCTGTGGACCTTCATGCTTTTTAGTAATAAATAAGTGGGCCTTGAAGACGAAAAGGTCAAGATCCCCTGCCTTAGCTGACCGTATCGTAAGAGGCCGTTTCTGTCAATAAATCCAAATATTATTTCACTTCAGGTGGTTTAGAAAATGTCTAATGTCTCGTTGCGACTGATGCCAGACCTGTGGTCACAATGCTGAATTGACCCTTGGTTGAACTGACCACAGTCTTTGTTGTCTAGCAAACGCAGCTGTGGGCAAAGTAAAAATCATAAAAAATCCTTCACAGCTAATAACTTATGAAATCTTACTAGTCATAAGTAAAGTTAATGAACATTACACTATGCAGAACCTGTAGGAATCAAATGCTCTGAATTATACATTAATAAGATGTGAGTTTAGATCATAATTCCTGCTCAATTTGCATCATAAGGTCTTAATGTGTATATTGTGCATTATTACAGCTAAATGCTCCCCGTTCTATCTGCAGTCATGAATGTATATTTGTTTATTTTGTTTGTCTTTTATTCTTTGAGCTGGTTGTTCACAAAAAAGTTTAATTTTTGATGTTTTATTTACATTCTGCAGTTGTTTATTTTGATCTGTTTGTGAGTTGTTTGTTTGTTTTTGTTCCAGACATTGAAGATTTGCCTCCTGCAGTTCAAGAAAAGCTGTTTGATGAAGTTCTCGACCGTGATGTACAGAAAGGTAACCCTAGCAATCGAAACATGACCTCAGCAACCACACCTACCAACCTGAACAACCAGTCCTACAACAAAACATAACCTCAGCAACAGACGTAACAGACAACATTTACAGTAGTGACACACGGGAACTGCAAGTACTGAGATCAGAAACATTGGAGTGGTTTCAAATATTCAATACCACAGAATGTAGGGCGTATATATCGCGTATAATTTTTAAAGTTTATTCATAGTTTAATTTTATTTTTTATACCAAATGTCTGCATTACCAAATAAACTTCACTCTTCCCTAATATTTTTTTTTATTAAATTTTTATTGTTTTGACAGTAACTGCTATGTACAGGAGAGTAGCGTATAATTGCATCTCAACAAACAAACAATTAGTGTGTTCCATTCTGAAGGCAGCTGTCTAACTAGTCCCTGCCTTCAAAGGTTCCTCTCTGGTTGGGCAGCATTTTAATTGAAAAGGAACCTTAGTAGGCATCGCATTCGGGACGGAGCTTCAGAGGAATCATACGTCATAACTTTCACTGCGCTGTACACATTTAATCTGTTTACTGGAAGTCACTGGTCAGATTACACTCACCTCCGACTGTAAAGGTGCATCACCTCAGAGTAAAAGGACGGCTCTAAATCTGCAGCAGCTGATTTCCTGCATTAACACTGTTGTAGATATGTGTGTATGAAGAACAGACCGATTTAAGGAGTCGTATCTGTTGTGATATATTTGACTCGGCGGCTCAGATAAATACGGATAATTGTGCCTATTAGTTTATGAATCATTCAGTTCATTCACTGTCCTGATTCGCCTTAATGAACCTGCTTAATTTTATCAAGGATAAAAACTATGTATACTTTTGAACGACATGCATCCAGAAAAAATGATCGTACACAATCTGTTAAGCAGCTAATATGCGTGTTATGTATTCTCATCTGATTTATGAGCTCCTAGTCTGAAATTTAGCCGTCAACATTCACTATGTGACTGTCATAAACACGGCAATACAAGACAGGCAGAGCAGGCATTTATTTTCTGAAGCTCTACATCGTCCAGTGTTGAAGTATTTTGCATTGTTCAGGGAGAACGTCAGTCTACAACGCTGGTCCCGCAGGGTTTTCCCCCGTATACACTGCAAAAGTGAGCTGCTCTCAGTCGTTCAGTGCAGTTTTCTCCCCATAACCGCTGCTCTTCCTCAGCCCCTCAGACAGCGGCTCTCCTCTGCTGTTAGTCACTGAGGACAGAAAGTCTCTGAGTACAGAATGAAAGCGAGAAGTTATTTACAAATAAAAATGCTGCTAAACAGTAACGAAATGTCTGCTTCACCTTAACGAGCTGTGAACGCAGCCTGTCAGGTCGCGTTAGACAAGCGAACTGCCAACATTTTACCACAGGAATGATTTCTAGAGATCTACAAACACAAATATGTTCAATTCTTTATACAAAAATACAACAATTACAAAATTAATACAACAAAATACAAAATGCCGACATTATTAGCTAATAAACCTCAGCTAGGCTAACCTGTTTGTGAAGAATTCAGCCCAGTGTCTCAGTTACCGTACCGAGGAGAAGATGCGGCTCCCAGCAGCTACTTCTCCATTCAAGCAGCTGCTAAGTGCTGATTCTGAACATGCAAAACAAATAACTTCCTCTTAAAGGATGTTACGAGCTATCGATCGGCACCTCCGTTTGATGGTAGAGTCCACATCTATGCGGTTGTGGACGCCACAGTTCGCTGTGAGTGACTGAGTCACATTAGAAAATCCCCTCAGTTCAAAACAGAAGAGCTGCGCTTTATATGCAAACACAAGATCTGCCTGTTAATGAGCTCTTAGTGTTGTTGTTAATGTTTTTCTGAGATATAGTACGCATGCTATGTATGTTTTTATGCGTGTCTTCTAAGAAAATTATCTGTGCCAGTTACCCCTTTAATATTTAGTAATATCTGTAGTTATGCCTTCTTGTCCAAAAAAACAAAGAAAAAAATGAAAGGTTTTCTAATAAGCAAAAATAAATAAATGTAAAAAAAGTATTATTATTTTTGTAATCTGCATCAACGTATTGAATCATGCTGCAAAAATAAAATTTGCATATTGTTACGCCCTTTATTTTATACTAATTTTTCTTGCTTTTCCTGCAAGTCCTGGTTTGATTTGTAAGCAGCCTTTAGGTGCTGTGTGTTATTATTTATTTATATATATATATATATATATATATATATATATATATATATATATATATATGTATATGTATATGTATATATATTGTTGTTGTTGTTTTGTTGTCCTTTGTTTACTTGTTTTTAAAAAAATTTTTAAGATGTTTTACTACACATTTACAGCATTTAGCACTCTCTTATCCAGAGCACCAGAGCAACTGACAGAAAGTGCTTTGTCTATCTAGATTAAGTCTTTATCTTTGCTAGGTACAAATAGGTTAGAGAGAAGGCCAGTCCTGAGCTCAGACACTGCTAGAAACAAAAGCCCATGTTAAAACCCAGAGAGAAAGAAACTGAATTAAACGCAGCGCAGTACATTTTAATAAGTGCAGTACAGTACATTACAATACTTAAGTGCTCACTTGTTGCCTATTAAAAGTGCTAAGAGTATCAGTTGCTGGTTTTCAGGTACAGAGTTCCAGAGTTTGGGCCCATAGTAACTAAAATTAACATCACCATGTTTGTGTGCAGAGCTGGAGGAGGAGTCTGCTGTGATTAACTGGTCTCTGGAGCTGGGCACTCGTCTGGACAGTCGTCTGTACGCTCTGTGGAACCGAACGGCCGGAGACTGCCTGCTGGACTCGGTGCTACAGGCCACCTGGGGAATCTACGATAAAGATTCGGTCCTCCGCAAAACGCTGCATGACAGCCTGCACGACTGCTCACACTGGTCAGAACAGGAGTCTGTGTACACTAACATTCAGAATGTCTGGAACCTTGTAATAGTGTTATTATTTTATTCAATACACCTAAATAGTGTAGATTTAAATGTAAGCTGGACACCAGGCAGTGCAGAATTTGGGAATATCACCAAGTTATTCAGTGATTAATAAAAGACTGTAAATATTTATTATTTTTGTCAAGCTATCTGCCTCAAGGCCTCAGCGTACTTCTTGTGAAACGAAATTCTTGAGGGTTGTGTGAAGCTGAAAGCGCCTTCGCAAGCTTACAAGCTCGCATACATTTCTGCAGTGTCGTTTTGTCTGTCGCAGATACTCCATTGATGCTATGACATTTTATGACAAGTTCAATGACTACTGGAAAACGATTTTATTACCGTTCTAACTATGGCGACATTTGAGTCCAGAATACTGGCACTATTTAAGGTGGAACGGGGGAAATTAGAACAAGAAGCTGGTGAATAGAAAGCCAACTTCAGCCTCGTCCCCCTGTGAACCTGAATATAAGATACCCTGTATGTTGTGGTGCTCAGTACTAGTCAGTACGACAATAACAGACTTGGTATCTTACATTTAGGAGGTATTCACTGTTTATTTAACAAATGTGCGTTGAGCAGTGAAATATCGGTGCGTCTGCCAAAGCGCTCAGCGTACTTCTTTCGAAACGAAGCTCCTCAAAGTCGTCCATCTTTGATTCATGGCACACCTCTTTTTTACCGACCAATCACAGGCTTTGTTGCGTAGTGTCGTTATCCGCAGAGTTGCCCAGCTGCCATGTGTGCGACACGATGAACGAAGCCCCCACGCGACGTCTGCGGTTGTTTTTCTCCACAATTACATTATTGTTCGCTGAAACCTGGTGAACGTCGTCTCCACAAGAAGTCTGCTGAGGCCTTCAGGATTTGATCACCACCTTTTATAACTTCATTCTTAATGTTCTAGAGCATTCTCAGTCATTTTAGGATAATCTGCAGCTCTCAGGGGGAAAGTAAAGGTATTAGACTGTCACTAGGGTGGTACCTTAAAGGATGCCTTTAGTGCAGGAACATAAATGTACCAAATTTTGTTGATATATTCATATATATCGATAAATGTCATCGCCCTGCCCGGCCCTGCTTGACCTTCAACTCTGCTTGACAGTGAAGCCACACGAGCAGGTGAATAAGGAGCTCAGCTAGAGGGAAAATCCAAACAAGACAGGTTTTTAGAGGTTTAGGCCAGTGGAGTTGTCCCCGACCCCAGGCACCGCACAGCTTCGCATTTTTCAAGCACTTAGAAATATTTTTAAGTCATTAGCTGAAGATTTAAGTCAGGTATATTAGAGCAGGTAAAACAGGTAAATACTGTTTAAGCCACCAAAACTGAGGCTCCCTGAGTTTCACAGCCTCAGAAAGGGCTTTTGTGAGAGTTATTTAACAGAGCAGGTGTGGAAGATGCCTTAGACAGCAAATTCCCCGACTGTGGGAGACTGCTACATATACACATTATATTTATTATTTTTATATATATATATGTGTGTGTGTGTGTGTGTTTGTGTGTGTGTGTGTGTTTGTGTCTATATATAGTCAAGCAAAGCTACAAGTTCATGTTAATCCTCACATTGTCTCAATGACTGAGTTTTCTTCCTTCTTTTATTTACATGATCTTGCATCCAATTCATATTCTGTTTGTTGCCGCATGATACGACTGTGAAGTCTAACAACTGTGGAAAATTACTGGAGTCAGCTTAAATAATTGTGATCTCAAATACATGTAAATGAGATGTGCTGAGCCTGCTGACTCCTGACAGCCTGTTCATGCTTTTTATTTTATTTTTCTTTTTTTACAAACATTTTATAGTTATGAAAAGGTAGAAATGTGCTCCATTTAGTGTACCTACTTTAACTACACAGTTGGGCCTTATGGACAGTCTTGTACCTTTGAGGGTACATTTATGTTATTTGTTGCTTGGGGGGACTCTCTCTGACAGTGCACAGCTCTGTTTATCATTCTGGACACATGCAACATTTCCTCAGTTATTACAGCCTTCTGATAAGTTTAAACCTGTGAAATTATTGGTTAAAATCATTTGTTATATGTATCTTCAGCAGAACTGGATATATATAATTTAAAACGGTGATTCCAGACTTTTGAGAAGTAAACAGAAGTGCATGGTAGTGTTACAGTGGTACTTACAGACACTAAGGAGTGTTTGTGTTACAGGTTCTATACTCGGTGGAAAGAGTGGGAGTCGTGGTACTCGCAGAGTTTCGGCCTCCATTTCTCCCTCAGAGAGGAACAGTGGCAGGAGGACTGGGCCTTCATCCTGTCCCTCGCCAGCCAGGTACAAACTCTATTTTGGACATATAGAGTGTCTATAACTGTGCTACCTTCTCAGCGCTCATCAGCATTCAAGCCTTTCAGGTGTTTATACCACCTTTGAGCCAAAAGAGTTTCAATATGTGCTTTTAGCAGTAGTCTGGAAAAGAAAAAGGCTCTCCATACTAAGGGAGACACTTTGATCAACCTGAAGATTAGCGTTGAAGATAAATGATAGTTTTATGATAACTAGGGCCCCGCCCCATTCCACCCCTCGCCCCTACCACTGAGCCCTTACCCTCTGCTTTGCGTGTTCTCGTCTTGGGGTAGGGTGTCCCAATTCTTGTTGAGATAGAGGGGGAGGGTGAAGTGTTGGGGCTACATGACCCTCCAAACGGAGGTTTTTCAGGGACTCCAAACAGAGAGTTATGAGAAAAAAAGAAAAACCAGCACAAGAGACCAAAGAAACACAAATGTGAGAATTTTCTCTATTAAAAAATTACGTTAGCTGTCATATTATCTTAGTTTAATGTAGTTTTAATGTATTTTGGTCCTTTTCTTTATAACAAGCATAAAAAATCACTAATAGTATGCTAATGTCTCAGTAGCTAGCTATCTTTTCCGTTCCACCTTAAATAGTCCAGCAGTTCTGAAGCGCCAGAATGTAACTGCTGCACCATTTAAGGTGGAACAAGAAAACTAGAACAAGAATCTGGTGAATATCTGACTTCAGCTTCATATCACTGAAGAATTAGGGGTGGGTGATAATAAATAATTGCCCCCCTCTTTGAAGATCATATGATGCCCTAAATGTAACTAAAGCCCAGCAGTGAGGAGCTGAACTTTACCCTCCTCTGCTGTCACTGCAGACTGGCAGGGTCGCCTACAGAGCAGCGCTGGTAGCTGTTAATGAAGTGATGCTCTTTTTATTTGAGGGTCCCATTTCAGAGGGAAGATCTCAACCACTACCCTGTAACTCAGTTCCAAGGGGCAACACTCGAAAACAAGGGGTAGGGGTAGAAATAAGAAATGGGACTGGGCCTACATCTTGGCGGTTATTTTTTTCTTACTTTATTGTGAAGCAACATCAAGATTTAACTTTCAGAAGAAGGAAAAATGTCCCCAGATTTTTGACAGAGACTGTCTAAGGAGACTTTTTGTGATTTCAGGAGCTGAATATTAAAGTTGAACCTTTGTGTGATATATATTTTGTCTCTTTCCTCTCTCTCACCTTTCTCCCACTCCTTTCCATTCCTGCTTTCTGTCTCCCTCTGCCCCACCCCTTTTGCTCTTACTGTCTCTCTCTCTCTCTTTCGTCTAGCCTGGAGCGAGTTTGGAGCAGACTCACATATTCGTTCTTGCACACATTCTCCGTCGGCCGATCATAGTTTACGGAGTGAAGTATTACAAGAGTTTCCGTGGAGAAACGTTAGGCTACACTCGCTTTCAAGGTGAGTTTCAGCTTTTTTAGAGGAACAAATTGCCAGTTTTGAAAACTGTTTTTGAAACAACATCCTGGGCTTTGCTTTATACCACTGCTGTAATTCTAGCAACAGCTGGAACTGCTGTAAAATGTTTTGTAACAGCATCAGGACATCAGGGTTGTAAGTTATCGCGAGTAACATCACAACTGTAATGATCTACATGACAGTGGTAATATTACTTGCCATAATGCACTTCCTCCTGTATTTTTTACTAAATTTTTGTTAGTATTATAATAAGTGGTAATTAGTTGTTAATAATAATTAAGATACTTAATAATAGTAGCAATGTGTTAATTCTAATAATGATTAATGATCAATAGAAGATTTTATCTCTACTATTAAGAATAATTTTTCGAGTTCTGAATAAAGGAATGTAGATCTGGGGCCGGATTCACGAAAGCTTTCTTAAGAAAAACTTCTTATAAGGTTATTAAGACAAACACTAAGAAGTTCATAAGAATGTTTTTAAATGCAATTCTTGAAAAAAATGAAAAGTTCTCAAATATTGTCTTATGCAAACCATACATTAGAAGACTTTGGAAAGACTTTGTAAAGTCTTCTAAAGTGACAACCTGTCACACCTAAAAACAATGTCACAGTTTTTAGTTACAGACTATGATTTTGCAAAGACTGGGAATCTTGAATTGTTGAAATGTCAGTCACATTTGCATGAGTCAAGACTTAAAACTTATAATATTAAACACGGTTGATTTTGTCGCCGCGTCAAGACGAAAAAGACTGACTTAAGACGGCCATCCTGACCACAACGATCGAGATGACTCGAGCAAGACTCTCATGATTTTATTCCGACATTGGAAATTTGCCTGCAACAGTGAAATCGCTTGAAAAGTCGTTTGGTGTGAGGCCGGCATAAAGATAATCTCAATTATTTTCTTAAATTTTTCTTAAGAAAATCTATGTAGGCTATGTTGCCATAAACGATGTAAGATACCTTTAGAACTGTTATTTCCATTATTTAGTTTAATCCACTCAGAGGAGCAAAACGGGGGAAAAACACCAAGCGTTCAAAAATTTTAGCAAACAAGAACTAGAGGTGATGGGGAAGAAGCAGCCAACAAGAAAAAAATCCTCATTGGAAAATATGATAATTATGGGCTGATGGACGAGGAGGAGGAGCAGAGGCAGCGTCACTGATACATTTAGATGCTGACCTTGTCGACTCTTACAGCCTGGACGAGTGTGAGGCTGTCGTAAGGTTAAGAAAACATTTAGGAACATAATATTTTCCAGAATCCCACTTGTTCTTAGAGTTATTCTTAAGAAAATAAGATAATTCTTACAAGGTTAATCAAAGAATAACAATTTATCATAACTTTTTTTCTTAAGAATGAAGTTAAGAAAAAACACGTTTAGGAAGATTTTCTTTCGTAAGACACTTCGGTGAATCCGGCCCCTGGACTTCATCTGGTTGATATCCCTGCGTCTGAACAGTGATGGTCTCTCCCTCCAGTCACTGACTCAGCTGTGCTTTCTTACGTCAGCAGAATTGATTTCAGCTCGATGTTCATTCACCACTCACTGATGTGACTGAGCTGAATGAAAGGTTTCAGCTTTCACTGATGCTTACGGTCCGTGAGAGAGAGAACTTCTGCTCAGGTTTCTGTGTGAAAGGCAGGAAAGAGGGAAGGAGTGCAGAGAGGAGAGAGAGAGAGATTGAAGAGAGAGGAAGGCATCTGTACCACTGAATGTGTAATAATTGCTGTCGTATCAAAATAAAATAACTTATTTTAAGTGAATTGAATTTGCCTTTACAGCAAATTGCACTGCACTGTGTTACAGTGAGGACATTTTCACTGTTTTTGAGTATAAAGCGTGAATAGAATGGACCATCACACTAACTTTAGTGGACGACATACATTTCAATTTGAAAACGTCTCTTTAACTTGGCGTTTAATTAAAATTTTACGTCTCTTTTATTTATCTTTTTCATAGTCTTAGTCTGAGTCGTTGTCTTACATATTTTAATTAATACTCATAGTTTCCCTTACTGTTAAGCTTTATCTCCTGTCTGTAAAGCACTTGGAGCTGCTACTGGCATGAAACACGCTTTATAAATAAAGATATTATTATAAGTAGTAGGTTAACATGAATTTGAAATGATTTTAGAAGTCGAATTCAACATAAATCGGTTATAAGCTGTACGAAAAGGACGAGCCGAGTTTGTTAAAGATGATATTTACTGTGCTCTTCTGTGAATCCAGGGGCTCGCACATGTTCCTCTGTGTGCTCTAGCTGGCTAGCTTGTATTTACATTGAAAGTGGGTTTGTTTGACTCGGTTTGCTTTTGGTCAAATATCGGATAAATGATAAATAACAATTATTTCAGTATGTTTGACAGTATTTATACGATGCATTTTTAACTTAAAAATATGTAATTCTGGAGTTTGGTAACTTTATTAATTTATGTCAATTTATTGAAAATGATACCTGCCTTTCAAAGATTGTCATCCCACCCACTTTCCTGCCTGTCACACAGAAATCTGTGCAGAATGGATTTAAAAAAACCATTTTTTTTTTCTACTATAATGTTAGTATTATTTTGTAGATATGAGGTTTTATGACTGAGCGGATACATTATGTACCACTGCTGTGTCATAATTCACACTGTCATTTTCCTGACAGTAAAGCATAGATGACATGAAAAGGAAATGAGAGAGAGAGAGAGAGCGAGCGAGCGAATAAGCTAGCAGCAGCATTATTGTGAACGCATTTGAGATAATGGGGATCGCCCAGACTCGTTACATGGAGCACTAATGTGGCCGGGATTTACAGAAAGTGCTTGTATGTGCGAATGTCTGAACTGCAAATGTACATTTATGGACCAGACTAATGCATTATAGCTGGGAGTGAGGCAGCCAGAGCCAGCTGCTCCTCCCGTCTGTCCAGAGTGCGTCGTGTATGTGTCTGTAGAGTGCAGTGATTTCCAGCTGTGACCCCGAAGCCTCGTACATCACAGTTCAGCCGAGTCAAGAGCAGAGAGAACATCAGGGTGTGGAGCAGCTCTGTGTTCTGTGTAATTGTAGGACTGGCCCGAATAATTTAAATACCCGAGTATTTGTTATGTTTGTATTCGTTCTCCGGTTGTTATGGTTGTTAGTCCTTTGTTAGCCTTTTAGACACCGACAGAATTGAAGATCAGTGAAACTGCAGCGTAAAGAATGTGTTACTTGAGCTCAGCCCATCTAAAACATCAGATGTACAAAATTAGAGGTACAAAGTTCGGATCATGTTTTGAAGGTTTCATTATTACGTTATCTGAAACTTGTATTCCAATAAATGTAAATTTATACGAGTGAAAAATTAGCTTTAGCTTGATGTTTATCGGACCTCTCACTGCGACGTGTTCTTTGCTTTTCGTAGCTGAGCTTTGTACTGTATCTGCTGCTATACGGGCACGAATGGGGGTGTTTAGTCTTCTCTAGTTTTAAAGCAGAGCGACTCAGCTCTGTGCACTGTATTGTACATTATGAATTCGGGGAAGTTTCCAGTTTATACATACAATCTAATGTTGAACATAATGAAAACTTACAGTAGGTCAACTTTTGTGAGGCTGTTAATTTTGACAGAAAATTCAAAATGTATTTATGGAAACACTGGATCCCCCCTCTGCCCCCGGTTCAGTTTGGTCTTACTTTGTGGGGGGTTCCCTTTAGCCCTGCCCCCCCCCCACCCCCACCCCCCCAATGCGGCTCTTTTACTGCCCTGTTGTGGCTCCACAGCAGAATTAGGTTTGTAGGTAAAAATAAAATAATCCTCCTTTACAGTAAAATAAAGCTCTGCTGATCGTTCAACACAGTTTAACAGTAAATGGTCTTAAACTCTGGAGTTAATGTAGAACTGCTGATTCACCCTTTAACCCTGAAGATCAGCGCAGACTGCTGGTCACCATTGCAGTGCAGACAACAGTCTCGCCTAGTCTGTTCCACTTTTATGGAAAAGTTTCCTGCCAGAGATGTGAGAAAATTGGCTGAGCTAAACGTTAAAGGAGAGCACAGTAAGTCTGCGTTTTAGTTTATATTATGTTTTTAGCCTGTACTAATAAATTAGCACATACTGAGACACATTTTCAGCCAAGATGATAAAATGGACATAAAATCTTGTGGCTCCCAAGGAGGTTTGATTTTTGTTGAAAGGGTAAAAAGGCTCTTCTTTACATTTGGGTTGCGACTCCTGGGCTAGAAGGAGCTTGCACTTCGCTTTTTGATGATCCCAGCTGTAGTCCATCAGTTGCTGCACAGTTTGTCAACCCTCCTAATCACTGGTCATTGGTCTGCACAGTTTATCCAGTTTATCACATTCATCATTGGTCAGTTTCTGTCCAATAGTCCAGATATTATTTGTGTGCTTGTCTGTTCTCAGCACAGCAGTGATGCTGACCTGATAGTGTGTGGTGCTGGTATATCAGGCAAACGTTAAGTGTCACTATTAGGTTCAGAGTGGACCGTCCGCCAAAAAATAACCAGACAAGAGTGGCTCTGTGGTCAGAAACTGACCACTGATGAAGGACTAGAGGATGTTGAGAGTGACCAACACAAACTGTACATCAGTACATTCAGTCTCTGGCTGTACACCAGCAAAGTGGAGCTACAGTGGGTTTGGAGTTGGCCACAGAAGAGTTTGTTGTAGCATGTAAACACTATTAAATTTTACTCATCAGTCCACACAGTCCAGTATATAGACACTACACAGTCCAGTATGTGGATACTACACAGTCCAGTATATGGATACTACACAGTCCAGTATGTGGATACTACACAGTCCAGTATGTGGACACTACACAGTCCAGTATGTGGATACTAAACTATAAAAACTTACTTTGAATTCATTGTTTTTGTAATGTCACAAAAAAACAGCACATTTGTTTATACCTGCATATTCAGTCTACAGCAGTTTAGCCCCACCTGCTCAAGCTGAAATTAAAAGGAGTGTGTTTGGTAGGTGTGCTGTACAAATGAGGCTCAACACACAACAACCAATCAGAACAGAGCTCATTTACATATATCCGTCTTAAGAGCACCGTAACACAGCGTGGTAACTTGTAAGATAAATGGAGGTTGGAAATTGGTCGTGTAAAAGTTAATGTTGCCTGGTTTTGGTGCATAAAGCTACCTGTTTGTATCTTCGCTAGGTGTGTACTTACCGTTGCTATGGGAACAGAGCTTTTGCTGGAAAAGCCCTATCGCTCTTGGTTACACGAGGGGTCACTTTTCTGCGCTGGTCGCCATGGAGACAGACGGCTACGACAATCGCGGCGCGGGCGCCAATCTCAACACGGACGACGACGTCACGGTAACCTTCCTCCCATTGGTCGACAGCGAGAGGAAGCTGCTGCACATCCACTTCCTGTCGGCACAAGAGGTACATGGTGATGTATAAACCTCAACACAGTTGGAACAGCAGGGAAGCACAAACAAAATCCTTTCTTACATCTTGTGTCTCACTGTTGGGACATTAAGGCCCAGTCCCAATTCTTATTTTTACCCCTACCCCTTGTTTTCGAGTGTCGCCTTACCTCTTGGAACTGAGTCACAGGGTAGTGGTTGAGATCCTCCCTCTGAAATGGGACCCTCAAATAAAAAGAGCATCACTTCATTAACAGCTACCAGCGCTGCTCTGTAGGTGACCCTGCCAGTCTGCAGTGACAGCAGAGGAGGGTAAAGTTCAGCTCCTCACTGCTGGGCTTCAGTTACATTTAGGGACTCATATGCCTTCAAAGAGGGGGGCAATTATTTATTATCACCCACCCCTAATTCTTCAGTGATATGAAGCTGAAGTCAGATATTCACCAGATTCTTGTTTGAATTTTCCCGTTCCACCTTAAATGGTGTAAGAGCTGCTGTGCCCTTTAAGGTGGAACGGAAATATATCTAGCTACTGAGACACACACTACTGGCTATGTTTGTATGTTGTTGTGAAGAAAAGGACCATAACACATTAAAACGACATTAAACTAAGACAATACGATGGTTACCATATTTTTTAACAGAGAAAATTCACACATTTGTGTGTTTCTTTGGTCTCTTGTTCTCCATCTTGTTGTTTTTCTTTTTTCTCATAACACTCTGTTTGGAGTGTCTCTGAAAAAGGCCATATAGCCCTAACACTTGGCCCTACTCCTTGAACACACAAAGCGGAGGGGTAGAGCTAACTGGTAGAGGTGAAGGGGTGAAATGGGATTAAGCCTATTTTATTGTATTATTGTTCAAATTTCAAGTTTATTTGTCATTTGCACAACATGCCAGGACATTCATGTTCATTCAGTGCTTGTGGTGGGGCTCAGATAGTCACTCTACAGAAAGTAAACACAGTAAAAATAAAAATACAAGAAAATATTAATACTGAAATATATTAAAAATACACAAAATGTATACAAAAATCCTCTCTGTTCTGTACAAAAATATTTATATTAAACAAGAGATAATCTCTGAAGAATATATACATTTTAATGTGACTGTGTTGTTGTCCATAGCAGTAATATGATATAATAATAATAATAATAATAATAATACTGACAAAGTGACCGAGTGAAATGGTAGCTGGGGATGGACCCACAGCTTCACAGCTTATATTGTTATTATTTTAAAGCTGCAGTATGTAAGATTTTTTGTTTTGAAGTAAATAGCATTTCTGAGTTGGGGGAATAAAAGCTGCTGCTGCGAGTCGCCCTGTAAAGCCTGAAATAGTCCTTTAAAAGTGGGAAAGCGTTAAATCGAGAGTTTTCAACTCGCCTCTGACGTTTTCGTACGTCTGGCTTGATGTTTAGGTCTCAGATAATCTCAAAATCAACATCATACTGATGAAGATGTGATTATAATAGTAGATAATTCACTCACATCCTCGGAAGACGCTCCTTCACCAAGCTTAGACTGAGTTCTCTCAGAATTCTCTTGTAATTATTAGATTTTTCTGCTTGGTAAAGGGGTCTGAAGGGGTCCCCCCCAAAAGTTACATAGTGCAGCTTTAAAATGAACAAGTTTATAGAATTTGTGCAGTGAAAACTGCGTATTTAAGTGTGTTCTCTGTGTTATTTTCACTTAAAACCTTTAAACTTTCACAAACGACCGTATGCTGTGCATGTCTGTGTTACAGATGGGTAACGAGGAGCAGCAGGAGAAGCTGTTGAGGGAGTGGCTGGACTGCTGCGTGACGGACGGCGGGATGCTGGCCGCTATGCAGAAGAGCTGCAGGCGGAGGAACCATCCACTGGTCACTCAGATGGTGGAGAAGTGGCTGGACGGATACAGGCAGATCCGACCCTGCCCCACGCTGTCCGACGGAGAGGAGGAGGAGGACGAAGAAGACGAGTGAGGACGAGACGGACTGTGGGGGATCGAAATTCTCAGAAACTGATTCACCATTTATTTTCACGTCAGGGAGGGAAGGGCCTCCAGCCATTTCACACCAACACACAAACGCACTCACTAAGGAAAAGTAGGGTTTTATTGATGGACATTTCTACACCCCCCCTGCCCCCCGCCCCCCCCATCATTTCTCATAACGCTACACTAGAACCGCAGCAACCCGAACCACAGAACTGCGATTCAGTCTAGTAGAGAGGAAACCGTCATATTTAATAAATATCTCTCTCCCCTTCTCTCTCTATACATATATATATATGAATATATATATAAATACTTACCCATCAGTGCAGTTGTAATGCATGCGGTTCTTTAAAAGATGTGTAATATGGAAAAAAACAAAAAAGAAATACCAGCATCGATGAGCAGAAATGAAGTTTATAAAGGTTTGTTATTGGCACTTACAAAAAAAGCACATTTTTCCAAAAGATGTTTGTTAAAAGGCTTTGTTTTGTTTTCTTTTATTCAGATTTAAAGTTTTAATTGATTCACTTTTGGGAAGAAGAAGCAGACGTTTTTGGTTTATCTTCAGGTTTAGTTGTGGACGTCGGAGAGAGACGAGCGTGTTTAGCATGATGTTTCAGTTGTTGCGACAGCGACGCACTAAAGAAAAGCAAAAAACAAACAAATATATCTAAAGAAAGTTAGAATGGAAAGAAGTAACTTTTCTCGTGAGTGTGATTATATTTTTTCCCCTCACTGTTTCCTCCCCCTCTTACCCCTCTAGCGTTGTTGTTTTTTTTTTTAAAGACTGACTGTATTTATTTGTTTAGGAGTGATACCGTACGCTGAGTAATTTTACGTTTTGCTCTCTCTTCATCTTTTCTCCCATTTACGCCCCTCTGTCTCTGTCTGTGTCTCTCTTTTCTCTCATTTATTTCTCTCTCTCTCTCTCTGTGGTTCGTCTGTTCAGTCTTTCTGACCTTTTACGTTGCACTCTTACGGTGTGTACTCTTGCTGTGAGGAATGAGAAGAACCCCCATGTGTATAAATTTACTGACATGTATAACGTGTGACGATCTAGTACCTCATTTTTTGATGTTACAACTTTAGGTGCTTCTCTGTGGGGGGAGGACGAGGCGGGAGGGTCCGGGATGGGACAGCAGATACACACACAGCTTCTACCGAGTGTGCTATAACATTAAATTACACACACACACTTCCACCCGTGTCCTGCTGTCTCTGTCTCTTTCTGTACCACCGTGATTTTCAGCAACTCACAGCTAAATTTAGCTGAAGGAAAAGTGCCACAGAACGAGCTCTGACTGGTCTGAAGAGAGGGGGCCCAGACCTTTTGTCCTGGGGGGCTGAAGGGCGAAGTGTATCGAATGGTTGGGGCCACAAGGACAAAACAATATATAAATGAAGAAAGTCAGTGGGTTTGAAATCAGAGTTTGCAGTGAGGTGCATTTTGTGACATACGACACAATATTTTGTTACTAAAACACATTTAAAAGGATCAGACATAACATTCTGACCACCTCCTTATTTCTACGCTCATTTTATCAGCTCCACTTACTATATAGGTGCACTTTGTAGTTCTGCAGTTGTGTTGCGCTGGTCTGAGTGGATCAGACACAGCAGTGCTGCTGGAGTTTTTAAACACTGTGTCCACTCTATTAGACACTCCAACCTTGTCTGTCCACCTTGTAGATGTAAAGTCAGAGACGATAGCTCATCTGCTGCTGCACAGTTTGTGTTGGTCATCCTCTAGTCCTTCATCAGTGGTCACAGGACGCTGCCCACAGGACGCTGTTGGCTGGATATTTTTGGTTGGTGGACTATTCTCAGTCCAGCAGTGACACTGAGGTGTTTAAAAACTCCAGCAGCACTGCTGTGTCTGATCCACTCAGACCAGCACAACACACACTAACACACCACCACCACGTCAGTGTTACTGCAGTGCTGAGAATGATCCACCACCCAAATAGTACCTGCTCTGTGAGGGTCCATGGGGGTCCTGACCACTGAAGAACAGGGTAACAAAATGTCAGAACGTTTGAAAATTTCAATATAAGTGAGAAAACCCCACTTTTTCACTGATTCAGTATATTTGAAATTTAGAGCTGCATGCTGAGAGAACAGCTGGACCAAAGGAAATGAAACATTCCGATGCTGACGGGTTAATTAGAAACAGATAAATACATGATTGCTTTTTCTTACCTGCCCTGTGTGGTGCAGACCAATCAAACATTTTTCATTTGTTTAATCAAATCGTCACGTTTACACAGGTGCGAAGGTGAGTGTGGCCCCCTTATAGTACTTAAATAAGCCAAAAAAATAAATAAGTTACAAAATATCTATATATACACACATTAGACTCTAAATATAGTGCTGGCAAAAGTAGTAACAGGTAAACACAATTCACACAAAACTAAATGAGCTCGCAGCACAGCTGTCAAACTCGGCACCATCTTGGATCGATCTTCACTGTGGTTCAATGAAGTCAAAGTTTATTTATGTAGCTCTTTTTACAGCAGTTGTCGTCACAAAGCAGCTTTACAGGAAAATCCGGGTCTGAGCCCCCATGGGCGTCGCCAGTGGAGACAGTGGCAAGGAAAAACTCCCTAAGAGGAAGAAACACTGAGAGGAACCAAGACTCAGAAGGGGAACCCATCCTCCTCTGGACCACACCGGATAGCAAACAGCATTAATATAAAGTATTATAGTTCAAAACGGGGAAAAACAGGCAGAGCATTAATGGTTAATTAGATAGTTTGAGTTAATGCAGGTGAGGTTTGCACAGCGTTGTACAGCATGTAGCTCCATGGCGGTCAGGCTGAAATGGGCCAGAGCTGAAACTGCCTGATCAAGGCAGAAGGCTGTGACTTGACTTGAGTATATAAATGTATCTGACAGAGAAAATTATGAGGTTATTTATTCATGTCTCCAATGTGAAGCTGTTCATTTGAAAATCAAGTGTCCTAAAATGCAGGAACTGGCTGAGTGATGCCTCTGAGGACTGCAGGTTTGTGGCTCAAATCTCAAAGTTATCTTGAGATAACGAGTTATGTATCTTGTCATTTCAAGATGATAAAATTATCTTGAAATAACGAACAACTCGTTATCTTAAGATAATGATCCGGAAAATTATAGCAACAGCTCGCGGCCGCTCTGGCCCTCTGTACCTATCTCTGTTGTGAACCTGGTAATCCAAAAGGCAAGGAAGGAGAAGAGGAGGCTGTAAATGGTCTGTAAAGTTCTTTGGCTCAGTGGTCTAAGCTTTGCCAGCTCGGAAGGTTCTTGGGTCAAATCCCAATCAGGATAAAAAGGTTTGACTGTCTTTGCTGGAAATCTGAAATACAGATGTCCAAAAATGCCTCTCAGTTCTCTTTGTGCCCCTGTGGCCCAATTACAAGCACCGTGTGCCTGAAATCTGGATCAGCAGGTTGTTGGTTCAAATCCTGAAAGTGCAGACTTTGGGTTTTGCATTCATATGAAGCCCCTTTTATATATGCATGTTTATAAGTGATCGTAAGGGTAATTAACGGAGGAGGGCCAGTGTGAAGAGTTGGAATTCCAGGAGAACTGACATTACAGTTCACCTGCTCAAGACCTCCTTCAGCTAATGAGGAGTCGTCATGAGGTCTTGCATGTAAACAGAAGGTGATTGATCCAGTGTGTCCAGTCTTATCTGTAGAGGGTCAGTCTGGCTGCAGGATTTTACTCCAAACAAGCTGGAGCTCACCTGATTCATCAGTTGGTCTTGGTCTTCAAACATTATCAGGTGACCTCCTGCTTTGCTGGAGTGAAAACCTGCAGCCACACTGAGAAACTTGCTCACTGATCTCTTTACTGTGGTGGTGATGGGAACCAGATGTCTGAAGGGTTTATTGGCTGAAAGTTATTACAGAAAGTGCTTACAGGTTCACTGTGAAGACCCAGGAAACCTAAATCTGTGTCTTCTTTCTGATCAGGTTAATCAGGCAAACAGCAAAGTGGAGCGTTCAAAATGAACCACAGTGAAGATCCAGGACTGGACACCCCTGTGCAGTTATCCAGCGACACCGTTGGGAAGCCAAAAGTAACCAGCCATGAAGCGGCTGTTGGCCATTTGTGCCGAGGGTGTTACACTCTGTGAAACAGGACTTGTGGCAAATGTGAAAATGTGCATCCTGGAAAAACAGCATTTGAGGACCACAAGCTTGAAAAGTGCAAAGCCTGTAAACAATAGTAACTTTATTTTTTGAGCACTTTTCAAACAGGTGGCAGCTCAAAGTTCAACAGCAATAGAAGAATAACAAATAAACGAGTACTGAATTAAAATCATATGAAACAATGACATCAAATCAAAGAGATAAACACCAAAAGAGCCGTAGAGTTTTACTGAAGCGCTGAGTTAAAGAGCTGCGTTTTCAGGTGTTTATTAAAAGTGAGCTCTGAGCTCGACTGTCTAATAAAAGCTGAACTGAGCTCCACAGTTTAGAAGCAGAATAACTGAGAGTCTCTGTTACGACCCCACGTTTGGTCTAGGGCGCTGTGGGATCAGTAACGAGGCATTAAAATTCTGAACAGGTGAGAATGGATTAGTTTGAGGAACAGACCAATATAGAGCTTCTGAAGCCACTTTATTAAAACAAACTACAGTGAAACTGGTGTGCTCTGATATCCAGTACCACACTGGAAGAGTCAAACTGTGGACAGCACCAAAGAAAAGAACAAAACAAAACCTAACCACGCTCACCTACTCTGAAACAGAAGTACTTAGCAAATCTGAAAAAGGATACAAAAGTTACCTAGCCAGTAACGAACATGTGGCGGTGCCCTCTGACCTGGGGAGCTAGACAGAGTAGACATCTACGTGGTGCGAATGTATAGGCGCACCCCTCTTACCTGTTTGAAAGCCCAGGTGGTACAAACAATCTCTTGTAAAACAAAGGTAAAAGTGTGCAGGTAAAATACCAACAACTGAAGCATTTCCTCTAACAAAGAGCGAAATCTTGCAAACTAAGTTAAAAGAAGCACCGATAAAATACCTAAAACAGAGCAGACTCAACACGAGATTAAAACACAGACTAAAACAGCACACATGATCAGTCCTCTCTCTCCTCAGCCAGCTTAAAGGCCTCTTTTAAAACATAGGCTCCTCCCCCAACTGCACCAGCCAGGCCTCTGATTGGTTCTCCTCACATGACTGTTTGCAGAGCAGGTACCTCTG